CCGGCGCAGGCAGCGCTGCCTGCGTGCCTGCCTGATGCGCGGGCAGACCCGCTGGGCTGCAGGTCCTGCATTAAGAGACAGACATCCACTGTCCAACATCGCGCTGCAAAAAGGCAGATCAGTTCTCAGCCGAGACACAGATGTCAGTGCTTGAGCCCGGCGCTAATTTTGCTCGTGCATATGGCAGGCGGCACTAAGCAGACAAGAAGGGCATTGGGATGGATGACGTAAGATCAGGAACTAAGCCCAGCACGCTTCTTCCGACTCCCTTTGCATAAGGACACAGCCCAGACAAGCCCAGAGGGTCCGGGGGGGGCTGACAAGCTGCAAGAGACATTGAGCATCACCGGGCAGCTAATCCCCGGCCGGTCCTGCCTGCGGGATGGAAGCGCAGGGCGGCAGCAAGCCCCGGCGGGGGCACAGCACGGGGCACTCGATATTTCACTGGTGTCCCACCACAGGGCTGCTCATGCCGGGGGTACAGCACGGCCCCGCTGCAGCAGCACAGGTCGCAGGGCAGTGAACGAAGGCGCTTTACTCGAGCTGTGCTTTCTAACCCGTCCAGGATGCCACAGCCCAGCTCCACCACCCCGGCTTTGGGCACAGGAGCGATGCTTCAGGGTAGAGCCACAAGCAAATCAGCTCTGGCAGCCACCAAAGATCTAGAGAGCCCTGTTTGGAGCTGGCTGTGAGGGCAAAGCTCCCCCGAGGCTTGACACATCCCCGAGCCAGAGGGGATAGCCTCCCCGACCCCCTCACCTCCCAGCCGATGCTTTCCACCCTACCACCCCCCAGCAGCTGCCTCCCTGCTGCTTTTGCATGGGAAGGGGTAAAAGACACCCTCATCTTCAGGGCTAAAATCTACCCGTCTCTGCAGGGACCTGGATTGCGTGGAACCCTGCTCCCCCTCCGTCAGCCGATGCACTGGTTTCCAGTACTCGTACATCATCAAAAGGCGCTGCGAGCTGGCATGCTGCGAGAGCAAGCGCAGGCGCACGCCTCCGGCACAGCTCTCCTCTCCTCCCTCGCTCCCGGGCACTCGCCAGGATAAGCTGCCCCGGGGATCCGGGCCGAGAGGTTTAAATCAGACAGCGGAGAGCACGAGTCAAAGGGTAAGAAGGAGCCTGCATGCCATGGAGACGAGTGGGACCAGCACACACCCAGAGAGAAAAGACAAAAAACAGCAAAAGGAAAAGAAGAAATAAATACAGAAGAGAGTACTTACAACAGAAAACAGAGAAATTTCACTTGTTCAGTAGTCCTGATGCACCAAAGCATAGACAGGGAGAGAGACAGACAGATGGAGAGAAGAAGAGCGTGTGAAAGACCTGGATATTAACTCTCATCTGGAGAAGCACAGCGAGTTGCCCAGCTCTGTCTTTTTGGAAGGAACACACAGATAAAAGATGCTCCGATTCTGCATTTCCTATTCGTGGCGGCAGGATGAGATTCAACCGCAAATCCAGCTGCCGCGGGAGGGGAGTGCCCGGAGCAA